TACTACTGTGGCTTTGATATTTAAGTTCATGTGCAGTGTAGTTTTGATATATACATATGTGCAAATGCATAAAGATATCCACGCTTTTTTTTTTTATATTTGTTTTAGTTTTTCAAAAGCTTAATGTTTTCATATAAACCTCGTAACAACATATAAATGTGTCAAAGAAAGGGTGATAAATATGTTGTTATTTAAAACGTGGATCACATGGACAATAGATATTTTTCCTACTGTGAAGTTGAATGGTAAGAATACAGAGGTGGGAAAGGGATTTGTTGAATGATAATATTCAAATGACATGGAACTTTTGAATGATTCAGAATTATAGGCAATACAGTTCCATTCTATTGTATTCGTTGGGGTTAAAGTTCATTTCAAAGAGATGCATAACTTATTTGATGGATCATATTTATTCAAGGTAAGCACAAGAGGCTAGTAGTTGGGTTTCATTTGGCTGAGGGATTTGATGAACTCATTGTATGTATAGCTTTATGTACAGAAGTGTGTGCAAGACATGAAGTGATGAAACCTTGAAGGTTTATTTGACTTTATGATTTTAGTTAAGTGGAATATTTCTTTAAAGTTTGGACTTTGTTATGTTTATTTTAGGTATGGAAGACTTGAAGTGTGACGTTTATTTTAAATTTGGACTTTTTGAAGACTTAAACTTTGATGTTTATTTTAAGTTCGGACTTTGGAAGACTTGATTGATTATTCTAGTTGTACTTTAAATGTTTATTTTCATTGTCTTTGATTTTAGTTGGAAAGCTTATGTTATGATTGTGTTAGAGATGTTAAAATTTCATATTTCAATTTTTTTCATTTAAAAAGAAAAAAAAAAAAGGAAAACCAAACCGAAATCGAACAGGAAAAAACCAAACCCAAAAGAATGAACCGAACCGAAATTTCGGTTCGGTTTCAGTTTTGGCAAAAAACCGAACCATTTTGAACTGAACCCAGCCCTATCTTTGAATATTCCCTTTAGTAGCTAATATTCTATTAGAGTTGTAATCCTAAAAGAGTAAGGATTCAACCTATCATACTACTATAAATAAAGGCACAATGGGGTGATACAACACACACCTTACAATCAAATCTCTTTTCTCTCTCTCTTGACGCCAGCCTTTCTCCCTCTCTAGTCTTAAATACAATTCAGTTAAATAGGCCTACAACATATTATCAGCACGTTTTTACCTGAAGCTAAGGAACTGAAGGATTGTAGGAGGAGGCTTTCTTCTATAAAATTCAAAGGCTTTTATTTGTTTTCTGCCAATCAGGTATGCTTAAAATAAAATAAGATATTTGAAACGTCCACGAAGCATGAAAACATTCCCTATGATGCATGAACCCCCTATATTTATATTTTCCTTCCGATATATATATTGTATATGTTTCATATATTTGTCAATATATATACATTTCATGCATTACACAATTATTTTGCTATGTGGAATTTGTGAGTCAAAGCATATAAATAAATTAGAAGCACTTTAGGGTTTTTCAAACCTTAAACATGTCGAAAAAACAAATCTGGGAATTTAATACGGCACTGCCGTTGGCATCACCACCCAGCATCATGTTGGCCAATCATTTGCTCTTACCCTGAAGCGTGGCAGACCCCTTGATTCAAAGGATTCACAACCCTGGAAGAGGAAAATGGCACAAACTAATGACTCTAGTCTGAATTTGACCATCGCTTACTCATTTGTTCCAACGTATGAGGTTATTCTAGATTATGGTGATGTCTTAGTTGAGACAACTCGATCTCTCGAGAATCGTGAGATTTCGGTCTACTACGTAGTATTGGATGAGATTTGGAATTAGAATGAGATGATCATCGATGATGCATTTGCGTACACAGTAGCTACTGACATCATGTTTAGCGATGACATTGAACCACGTTCCGTTGATAAATGCTGACATAAAACGGATTGGTCAAACTGAAAACAAGCAATCTAGGTCGAACTCGATTCGCTTGCAAAACGTAAGGTGTTTGGATCTATAGCTCCTACTCCACCACATGTGAAGCCAATGCTATAAGTGGGTTTTCGTAAGGAATGGTAATGAGAAGAATGAAATAATGCGATACAAAGCACACCTTGTAGCGCAAGGCTTCTCTTAGCACCTTATGATTGATTACGAGAAGACGTGTTCCCCCGTAATGGACGTCATAACGTTCCGCTACCTTATTAGTTTAGTAGTTTTCGAAAAATTGAATATGTAGTTTATGGACATGGTAACCGCGTATCTCTATGGGGATTTGGATACTAAAATCTACATGAAAGTTCCAGAAGGACTTACATTGATTGGTTCAAATAGTTCTAGACCATAGAACACTCTTTCTATTAGATTGAGGAGATCACTCTACGGATTGAAACAATCTGGGTAGATGTGGTATAACCGTCTAAGTGAATATTTGACAAGTCAGGGTTATGTGAATAACAAATTATGCCCATACGTGTTCATAAAGAAGTCACATTCCAGATTTGCGATCCTTGTAGTTTATGTCGACGACATGAACCTTATCAAAACTCCCGCAGAGCTTAAGGAAATTGTAGTTCACTTGAAATCAAAATTTGAGATGAAAAATCTTGGGAAAACTCGATATTATCTCGGCCCGGAGAATGAGCATTGTTCAAATGGAATCCTAGTACATTAATCGAACTACACCTAAAAGGTGTTATGACGTTTTAATGAGGATAAAGCGAAGCCTTCTAGTGCTCCTATGGTCATTCGGACTCTAGATGCTAAACAAGATCCCTTCCATCCCAAAGAGGATGAGGAAGAGATTTTGGAGCCAACTCAAATATGAATTTTGAGTCTCCGGTGCATTGGAGAAGCTTCCCCTATATTTGGACCAAAATGTAAGATTTGGGTCCTCCATTTCCTGTGCATTAGAGATGTTCTTACAAGTGAAAAGTAATATCACTAATATGTGATGCTAAATGACATAACATATGATTGTAAATTTAAAACATTAAGATATTGTACGTTTTTAGCTATTAAAAAGCGTAAATTTATTTTGCAAAAACAATAACAAAAAGTTAAGTTTTTTTTTAAAAAAATAATAAATTTTGTTAGATTAGCCAACAACGAAGTTCGAATTCAAAGGCTACTTTCATTTAAAAAAGAAAAAAGAAAAAAAAAAGTCAAATAGAAACTGTTAAAAATGCACTTAGGATTCGATGCACGGTTGGGTTAGGTGGAGAATAAACTAGGTGCATTATAATTAAGGTATTTCCTTCCCACATAACACCCTTTTTCCACAGAGATTTTAGATGCTTCACTTCTAGATTGCATGGCCAGTGGACAATACCCTTTAACACGGTAGGCATGAGATGTATATGAGTCATGCATGCATCTTCTAGATTCATGACTTTTGGTTTTGGAAATATCATGCACGCTGTACCATTTGCCGCTTGCCATGCCAGCTTAAAAGATAAAAGCTGATGTGAGACAGATAATTATAAACTAGCTCAATTTACAACAATTAATTAATGCATCTAATTTTTCCTAAAATTTTACCCAAAAAACAAGTCAAAAGAAAAATAAAGCAGAGATCGAATTTTAAAACTAAAAACTAAATGACATAGATTTTTAGTAGATTATTACTTATGTGTTGATTAACGTGTTTATTTTTTATTGATGACACATCATTTTATTTACAAATTTAATCTATCTAGCATGACTCTTCTATATAGCATATTAATCTACCGCACTTCCCTTATTCTTTTTGTCTGGACTTCTCTCAAATCTTGGCATTTTTTGTTTTTAAGTTTAGGGGGTAGATAAGGCTACCTCATTTATGGGTCAAAGCATACTACACATTTTTTTGATGACTTACAAAGGGGGTATTAGACTCTTTTTTTTTTAGGTCACCCACCAAAAAGAATTGTATGAAGTGGAACTCAAACTTAAATCTTGATCTAGCAAAACGAATGATTCTTATCAATTTAGGCAACCACCGTTGGCATCTGTGCATATTTTTTTATCACATGCATTTTCTTGCCTATATAAATAAATTTTTTCATAGCTTTGAAAGTTAAGAGTCAATATTATCCCAAAGAGTCAAGTATATGAAATGCCATATGTTATTTGCTGATATTATTACGAAAATGCATATTGTAATTAGATTTTACCAAGAGATATGCGTAAAACTTAATCATGGGAATTCGAATTCACAGCACACGTGTAACTAGGAAATAGTCCTCTTTAACCTTTTTCAATTGAAATTAAACAATTCATATTAGGTGCATCTAATAAATAAGAAAACACAATCTTAACTAATTGGTTGTGCACTTGTGCTAATCCTCAAATCACGTCGGTTTTTAATTTTAATATCCATCGGCTGATATTATATTGAACCAAAAGGCCATGTTACTTTCAAGTTCTAATTTAAATGCCCTCATTTCCTTTTAGAGTATCATACAAGTTATTAATGGATTCAAATATTATTTTATACTCTTAATTAAACATTAGCTTAATGTAGCTTAACTAACTCTTCTCATTACATGTTTGATTTTTGGTAAACGTCCTGAACCAATCATGGCTTGTAGATTAAGAATAGTAATTTATAAACATATTAGCATTTGATATTTTCAAATTTATTCAATCCAATGCTTGAAAATTAATAGAAAATGTGTGAAAAGCAAAAATAAGTGTGTAGGTAGCCCCATCCATAATTGATAGTGTATTTTAATTGGTTGATGTCAATTATTTAGGTTTAACTTACAATGGGAAAAATGCACCCTACTTACAATTGTTTACAAACTAAATTTCCGATTCGATTTTTCTTAAAAAAAAAAAACAAAAAAGTAGAGCTTAGAGCCGCCAACCAGTCAAACCCACGAACTTTGACCACAAAAAATTCCAAATAAAAAGGTTTTTTTGTTTTGATTTTGTAATCAATAAAATTGAAAAAAAAGGAATCAACGGTCAAACCTCCTCTGAGTTTCTCAGAAAGCTCTCCAAAAAAAAAAAAAAAAAAAAAAAAGAGAACAAAGAACAGAGAGAGCCTTATGCAATACGTGACCATCTTTTTCTCTTCTTCTTCGACAACAATTTCTTAATATTATTATCCTATTCAACTAAAATCTCTCACTCTCTCTCTCTCTCTCTTCTGTCTCTCTCTTTCTTGTTTGATGGCCTCCTCTTCAGGGAGCTTAGAAACCTCAGCAAACTCACACCCAGCAGCCTTCACTTTCTCAACTCACCCATTCATGACCACCTCCTTTTCCGACCTCTTAGCCTCCGGTACAAACGAAGACTCGAACCCACCAAGATATATCGGCCATGGCGGGTTATCGGATCGAATTGCAGAGCGCACTGGATCCGGCGTACCCAAATTCAAGTCACTACCGCCACCCTCACTGCCCATTTCTCCGCCCTCCATATCTCCATCCTCCTACTTTGCTATCCCACCTGGGTTGAGCCCAGCTGAGCTTCTTGACTCTCCCGTTCTCCTAAACACTTCAAACGTATGTATATGTATATGTATATGTTTGTGTGTATGAATTCTCACGTGTGTATATTATGTTTACATAATTTGGATTTCGTTTTTCTTGGGTTCCGCAATTTCCCAATAGGCATCATGAGGAAATTGAGATAAAGGAAAAAAGAAAATTTTAAGAAGAAGATATTTTTGTGATATTTTTCATTACCGAAGTCAAAGTCTTTGGTTTTGTTAATTTTGCTCTTTAATTATTGGGTTATGTTTTGTCAGTTGTAATATTGTTTTGTTTTGATGATTTTACTAATTGGGATTTTCTTGTTTTGTGTTATTTGTTTGCAGATTCTTCCATCTCCAACTACTGGAAGCTTAGCAGCTCATGGTGCCTTCAATTGGAAGAACAACCAACAGAATGTAAAACAGGAGAGCAAGAACTACTCAGATTTCTCTTTCCAAACCCAAGCAAGACCTCCCATTTCTTCATCATCGTCAATGTTTCAATCTTCAAACACCTCAAATCAAACTGTACGTTTCAATCTTTTATGTTGTTTGTTAAGCAGTCCGTCTTTGTGCACGACGTCCGATCTTTATTAAAAACAAGACGCTCTCAGAAAACCTCATTTCAGCTCAATTTGCTTAACTTTGATATCATTTATCGACTCGATCGATTGTGTAGTTACTAATTGATTACGTTTTATTTCGGACACAAGAGCAGGCATGGAACAACTACGTTCAGGCTCAAGAACCCCCAAAGCAAGAATATGGTTCTGTTCAGAGCTTGCCATCTGAAATGACCACCCAAACTCTCCAAAATAATACTCCGACAAATGGCGGTTTCTACCACCAATCTCAGACCTTGAGCAGGAAGTCAGACGATGGATATAACTGGAGAAAATATGGTCAAAAACAAGTGAAGGGAAGTGAAAATCCAAGAAGCTATTATAAGTGCACTTACCCTAACTGCCCAACTAAGAAAAAAGTAGAGAGGTCATTGGATGGACAAATCACTGAGATTGTTTACAAGGGCAATCACAACCATCCCAAGCCACAGAACACCAGAAGATCATCATCAAATTCTCACGCAATTCCGGCTTCAGACGCCACGAACAATGAACTCCCAGATCAAACTTATGCTAATCATGGCAATTCACAAATGGATTCCATTGGAACTCCTGAGAATTCATCCATATCCATTGGGGACGATGATTTCGAGCAGAGCTCTCAGAGGAGCAAGTCAGGAGGAGGGGAGGAGTTTGATGAAGATGAACCTAATGCCAAGAAATGGTAAGCTTGATTAATCAAGGGCTACCGGTTTTGGTACTCCCCTATCAACTGTCTGCGCTCCAAATTGATTATTTTACAGTTTTATGCGCACTCGCAGGAGTAGCGTTAAAATCACCAGCCTCGATTAATTTGCGTTTATTATTTGTGTGATTAATTAGTCTTTTTTTAATGGTTATGCAGGAAAAAAGATGCTGATCACAATGAAGGAATTTCAGCACCTGGGGGTAGAACAGTGAGAGAGCCTAGAGTTGTAGTTCAAACAACTAGTGACATAGATATTTTAGATGATGGCTACAGATGGAGGAAGTACGGTCAGAAAGTGGTAAAAGGCAATCCAAATCCAAGGTTTGAGAGTTCAAGAAATATAATTTTTTTTGCACTATCTAATATAGTCAAGTTTATTTTGTAAAAATACCTTACAAATAAAGTGGATTGTTTCTTTGTTCCTTAAAAAATGACACATTCTTCTAAAGTTTGCTTTTCATGGGATTGCATGTATTTTTGTTGGAATTTTAACAAAAAGTTCTTGGTATTGTTTACTTTAACGAAAAATTACATTTTTACATTAAAAAGTCAATTATAGTACTATTTATTTTGTCTTTATCGTTAAAACTCAAAGTTTTCAAGCATTTTTCATTAGTTTTTCTATTTTTGTTTTATTTGTATTTTGCGAAATTGTAGGAGCTACTACAAGTGCACTTATCCAGGATGTCCAGTGAGGAAGCATGTTGAAAGAGCTTCTCATGATCTTAGAGCAGTGATCACAACCTATGAAGGGAAGCACAACCACGACGTCCCCGCCGCTCGTGGCAGCGGCAGCCATGCTGCTGCCAATAGGCCTATACCAAACAACAACAACAACAACAATGTAGCTTCAGCAATGAGGCCTATAACTTATCACACTAACAATTCTGCTAATACCAACTCTCTTCAGAACTTGAGGCAACCAACATCAGAAGGGCAAGCGCCCTTTACCGGCCTAGAGATGTTGCAGAGCCAAGGAACTTACGGATTCGCAGGGTTCGACGGAAACTCCATGGGATACATGAACCAAGCACAGCTTAGTGACAACATGTTTTCTAAAGCCAAGGAAGAGCCTAGGGATGATGCATTTTTTGAATCATTGCTGCGTTGATTAGGGTTTGTGGAAGTCTCACAGTTTGGGAAAGGGATTTAAGTTAATAGAAATCATTACAAATAATCACACACACAGTCAGGAGGTTCATTCCATTCATTTCTTTTTTTGTTCGTTTATTGTGTTGTGTATATTCCTTTGCAAATTACAGGGGGTTTTTTCGAAGAAACTTCGTCAACGACATTTTTTTTTTTAGGGTTTTCTTTGCTATCTCAGCTAAAGAGGCTCAATTTTTTGTATCCCACAAATGTTTGATTTAGTTAAATGCTATACCAATGAAATTTGGATTTTTATTCCTCATATGAGTTTGCAAAATGTATTAACTTGGAGTTTCTGAGTTCGACTTAAACTCAAAGTTCCGATATAAAAACAAACGTTCTTAATCACGTAAATTATAAACACTCTTCTTATGAATTTGCAAAATTACAAGTGTTAACTTGAAATTTCAAATTAGACTTAAATTAAAAATCCTGATGTAAAGATAACCTCTCTTAATCGCGTAAGTTACAAACGACTTGCTCAATCCTTTACCGACAACATCAAGGAGCTGTGGGGCTCGTTTACAGATGCAAGAGACACAATCTCACAGGCCATGCTTTTTAGTAAGATATGCAATCGTCATCAGTTACATCTTAAGCTGAGGTTTGAATTGGTCAAATATGTTGAGCTTGAGATTTGCATTACTTAGTGCACAAGTTGGTCAAGGTCAATTTTGTATATTTTTTTTATTTTTGCTTTCCCACGTGTGGACTATTCCGGTTGGTTGGTCCCTTTGGTGGACCCAGCTAATATTAACCCGTTCATCGTATTGGGTCATGTATGGTAGTGTCATTCTCGTTCATTTTGGAACTTAATGTTTATTACAAATAAGCCCCCTGAATTTTGGAAATTCTCTCATTTTTATTTCCATCCTTAAACTCTTTTGAGTGTGTTTAATTTTTTTTAATAAACGATATTATCTACACAAAAGAGGATGAAGTGGGCTTAGCCTCACAATGGGCTATCAATAACATGGTTCAAAATCATCTTTTGTGATAATCAAATCTAAGACCTCTTACCTATAAGTAAAGAGAAATACTACTAGACTTTAATACTAAATAGCTATGGAGTGTGTTTATTAAAAACAAATGATTGTCCTAGTGGTCAGAGTTTTCTTTTTCAACCTATTGAGTTCCGGGTACAAATTTTCCCATCTCTTTTGTGTTAGCTTAGAATAATCAGTAATGGTCTTGTTTGTGGTAAAAAACAATAAGAAGATAACATACGACTCTTAACTTAATTAGTTGCATATTTACTTATTTTAAATGAGAGCTGTCATAAAAAAAACATATTCAAACAATCTAGTCTCCATTTTTTTCTCTCTAAAATTCTCTCTATGAAAGACTTTCCCAGCAACTTCGCCGTTTGCCCTAGCCTTTGGCTTGGGCGCCGGAGGCATTCATCCATCCTCCCTTTCTTCTCTTCCTCTCTTTGTTTCTCTATTTCCTCCTGAGTTTTCTTATGTTCTCTTTCCTTTGCCCGTTCTCCTCTTTCTTCACCTCTTCCACTTTTCTCCCTACCTTTTAAATTCTCGATTCTTCTCTGAGTTTAATCTTAGTTTTCCTTGAGCCAAGTCTCAACTATCCTGTGCTTCATGCCCCTTATCTGGTGTTTTTCGCCTACTTTTATTGTTTTCTATCTTTTAATTTCCCTTCCTCCCTCATTAGCTCCCATCATGTGGTCAGATCATGAGCTCCAATAAGAAATTGGATATCAAATCCACTTCCCTCCTTCACTTCCTCTACCCCAACTGGCATGCCAGATCCCCATCGAGGCCAAGTGTTGAGTATTTTACATACCCCTTAGCCTCACCTTCTTCCCATATGTTATTTTCTTTGTATATATCTACAAGGGTTCGTGAAGGGGACTTAGATCTAGTGTCTACTTTCTCAGTTCGGGTTTGGTTTCCTTCAAGGATGTGACGACGACTGTGATGTGGTCTTTGTTGTTGGAGATTAGGGTTTTTATTGAATGTTATCTGCGGCCTTCGGGCCTAAATTTGTGTGGGTCTTCCCGTTGTATCTTGGATTGTTGCTCCCATTTTGCTTAGGCCTTTTACTTTCTCTATAGTTGTTTACCTGGTTCTTTTTAGGCCTTGTACTAGTTTTTATTTTGATGAAAGTTGTCTTAATGATAAAAAAAAAAAAAATTAAAAAAAATTAAAAATTAAAAAATTAAAAAATTAAAAAAAAAATTAAAAAAATTAAAAACTAAAAAAATAAAAATAAAAAATAGAGTGCGGTCATAAATGAAATGATACTTGGTTGGTTATTCAAGTGAACACGACAAGCAACCTCAGTAATCTCACACCATATTGATTCATGTATGTCTGCTCTGCTCCTAGTTTATATACATGTTCTAGAAAGCCACTGCTAGCCTAGCATCGTCCTCATTAAGCACACTTTAGGAAACCCAAGGACTATTTTGGGACGAAAAAAAAATTAGAAACCAAAGTGGGGAAACCAAAAGTTTGAGTGGAAAATTAGTAATTCCTCAACAAACAAATAAAAAATGATTCTTGGTGGGTGGCTGCGATAAGAGCAAGACACTTGCGTTAGCCACACGGTGCGTCCACACACCCAATGGGATGCTGAGGCCTGTTCAGTGTTCACATACCCACCGTCCACCGACCGACCAAGCAAAAAGTTTATCTAATATGAAATATTTTTCTCAGTACTCACAGTGAAATTAATCATACTATTTTATAAGAAAAACTAATGAAAAATGTTTGAAAATTTTGAGTTTTAACGATAAAATAAAAGGTAAAGTGAATAGTATCATGATTGACTTTTTAGTTTTAAAATATGATTTTTCGTTAAAATAAATAGTACCGAGAGTTTTTCGTTAAAGTTCCCTATTTTATATTGTTAGATAAATCTAATTTTAAGATTGTATAATAGATATATAAATTTTAAAATTTAAATTCATTATATGATGATAAATAGGATGGTAAATACTATCACCGTTTGAGAGTTGTGAGTAAAAATACTCTCATCTAATATTAGAGTAAATTTTCACTGTGTGCAAGTGGTTAGATATATATGTTACAAAAAATTACTAACTTGAAATATAAAATTTTCTACCACTTATATAATAATACGTGATTTGTCATCCAAAGTGCATAATGAAAAGTTTCTTCTAATATTATAGGTTGTGTTCCTCAATCCATTTTTATATTAGCTCTTAATTATTGTTACGGCTCTTTGTTCCCTTTTTAATTGCTCTCTCATCCTCTTTATCTATTGATGAACCCGGTTTTTCAAAGATATGCTCCGATTGTCAACTTGTCGGTTTGTGAGTTGTAAATGGCGCCAAAATTTAGGGTTCTTTTTAGGGTTTCATAATCCAGTTAAAAGTAGAAGCAGCTCACGTATCTGATGAGTTCGTTGTTTACGTGTACGATATATATAGGAGTGTGGGCTATCCTTAAATGTTGTTCCATTTTTGGCACGCATCGCAAGTGGAGACCAGCAGACAAGTTGGTATTACTTGTAGGTGAAGATGTTGGACAGAGAGGAACAAAGATACTCCAGAAAATCGAAATGGTTCCATGAGTTTATTAATAATCTAATGTTGTAGCATTGTAAGTAGTGCAATTTTTCAATATACAAGTGATTATCAATGTTTTGGAGGGAGATGAAGATCACAAATGATTAAGATTTAGTAGAGGTGATCATGTAGTGGTGATTGGCGTGAAGACTTAAACATGTGTGCAGAGTAATTATCAGTCGTTAATGCATATTGCATGATTCATTTGTCTTAACAACTAGTAATTATCTTCACGTGGTCGATCAATGTCCTTTGCATTGCTCTACATGTTACATGAGAATGTTTGCTTGCAATTGAAATTTAGACACCGAAATTGATACTATCATTGTCTCACATGCAAGATTTCCCCGAGCGTTTGACATAACAAAAGTCAGGAATAAAAAAGGATCTTGAATGGTCACCCTTGATAGGTTTTGGGTCATTAGAGCTCTCAATTTTGACTAATAATATGAAAGATGATTGAAAATACAACCCTAAAGTCGTTGATATAGTCTTAGGAAAAACCCTAGATGCAAAAAGGTAACAAAACGGGAAGTTACAAAAACTCCTTTAAACTTAAATGTTAATTTAAACCCTTCAAGTGTCATTAAAACACTAAAATCCATCTTATGTTGTAGACAAAATAACGTGTCCAATTCGTCTTGTCGTTCTCTTCTAGAAAGATATCACGCAAATCGGACACTAAAAACCTAGAAAGTCGTTCTCTTCCGGAAAGATATCACAAGCCCAAATCAGACACGAAAAATCTAAAAAACACTATTCACTGCTGGCTAGTATGAATATATTTAACACTCCAAGGAATTAATGTAACCAAAACCCTAAAGTAGAAGTAGAGAAGCCAGACATAAGGGGAAGCTTAACACATCTAGAAGTCAATGTCAGTAAGGTATATTGGCTGAGTTAGTTCAAATCTCGAATGTCACAACATATTACTTTTACTCGGCGTCAAAAGAAAGCGGCAAAAACCCTAACCAAATATAACGGCTATAACAACTCCCACCGACTCATTATCAAACAACGCCCAATACTAACTCGCCACGTGTACAGCATCGTTAGTTTCCTAAATTGCCTTTCCCTCTGTTTTCAAAACCTTCCTCCCCCTTCACCTCCTCAAAATCCTAAAAACAACACCGTCTTCAAAATCTTGACTTTGATTTCTTTGATTCGTCGGCGTAAAATTCCTCCATGGATCCGCCCGTACCGAAACCCACCACTCTACGGAACATACTTGTACGCCTCCTCACGTTTGGAATCCTAGTCCTCGCCGTCCGATTCGCCTGCCTCATCACGCTTGCCGGCGAATCCTGCCGGTACAACAACGGCTTGTGCTTCTTCCACGACAACCTCAAATTTCGAGGCGGCGGGGAAACATTATTTGTCCGGGGCTCCGGTCGGCCACGTGTCCCCGAGCTCTGGACCACCAAGAAGTGGCGCAGGACAGTCGATTACTACTCGGCGATTTTCCAAGACCTGATCGCCGAGGGATTCCTCTTGCCCAATTCGAAAGCCCTCTGCGTCGAAGCCCTGGCCGGCGAGGACGTCCTTGCGCTCCAAGAAAACGGCGTCGTTAACTCAATTGGAGTCTCCGAGAACGCTTCTCCGCCGTTGATCGTCTCTGCCTCAAACCGCCGCCACCCTTTCGGTGAATCATCTTTCGATTTTGAGTTCTCGAGTCTGAACCCGTCGGGTCGACCCGCGGAATTCTCAGACGA